TTTTCGCTGCTGGGGTACCATTGAACACCACCACGTCACACTAAACCCTTCGTGAATTTATCGTAACCGCTACCTTTAAGCGCTGTTCTGGCGTGAGCTGGACGGGCGGATTTTCTCATTCTAGGAGCCAGGTAGCGACCTTCAAGTTCAAATGCTTTGCCTTGTGGAACTCATAGTGGGATTGCTATGACGTACTTAATGTGGGACATGTTTTCGTTCCCTCTTCACGTCATATAAGCAGCTTGATTTCAAATCTAATGGCTTTGCTATTTCAAAATGGCTTTGCTATTTCAAACACGATACAATAAGATGAAAAAGCAAAACGTTCTCGATTCAATACTATGCCGTATCTTGCACGGAAAGCTATATTTAAAGCTCCGGTATCTGGTATTTTTTTTGAAGGGATCTCATGACAAATCTAGCCTTTCCTGGCTGGTATGAATGTTTTGTACGTGTTCATAAAAAACTGCGCAAAATCCCGCGAGAATAGAAGAGTGAATTCCCAGAGAAAGCCAGAGAAAGAGAAACAGTTTTTAGCAAAGGACCTGCTGAATCTAACCTGTAATAATGTGGTGACACCGCAAGTACTGTTGTGACAAAGTGCATAGCAGGGGGGTAGCGAAGCCATGTGTAGGTCTCTTGGTCTATCGATTTTTGACGAAGATGGAGAAAAGGGGAACGTGGACGACTCCAAAGATGGAAGCCAAAGAAATTTTTCCAACGACCTGGTATGTGCCGCAATAAACTTGGGCCATGAGGGGCGGGGGATTACTGAAACGTTACACAAAATCATCGACAGTGAAAACAACACACCGCGAAGCCTTACCACTTTCAGCATGTAGAAAATCATAGAGGATATAGTCCCTCGTCCGTGATCTTACACTGATAGATGAGACATGTAATTTAAACTTTGGTCCATGTAACCAACGTCATTATACTTCCAAAAGCAGATATTTTCAGAGAACAGCTCTGCAGCCAGCATCACTCGAGACAACAAAAAACCGTGTCCAAGGAGAAGCCTTCTTCATGATGTTCGCACCCATGTCTTCAGTTCTGCGATGGAGGCTTGACCATATGGGTCCACCCTCTAGCAAGCAAGTGTACTCCTTTCAACTGATATCAGGGCTCGTCGAATTACTGTCAACCTCGCTGAAGCAAATAGGATAGATGGACAGTAGAGGGATTCGCTAATCCTGGGCCTTTGCCGCAGCAAGAATGCAAAGCGGTGGGAAGCGATCCGGACGAATCAGCACAAAGCTATGCTTGCATTGGCTCAAACCGCTAGTGAATCGCTGCATAACCTCGAACTCAAGCGATCTGTGACTCGAGAGGCAAATTCAACTTATTCCAAAGTACGACACCAGTTGAAAATGTGGTTCAACTCCTGCTTTGACAATCTTCGTCGCCTACGCACCAACATCGAGCTACGACGAGGAGGAACACGAAGCATTTTATATGGAATTGGAGAAGTTCTACAAGGAAGACCATACCTTCTTCAAGGTCATCGTCGGCGACTTCAACGCCAAGATTGGCCCGAGAAGAACGGCTGAAGAACTTCACATCGGTACTCACGGAATGGATTGGAATGAGCAGGGCGAAAGACTGTCTGAGTTTATCATGTCGACCAAACACCATCCATGGTAACTCGCAGTTCCAGAAGCCCTCTCACCTTCGTTGGACTTGGGAGTCACCTGATGGACAGTTCCATAACGAGATAGACCACATCATCTTCAATCGAAGGTTTTGCCTGACCGACGTCGCTGTTGTTCCAAAGTTCTACACGGGATCGGACCATCGTCTCCTCCGCGCAAGATTCCACTTCTCGATGCGTGTTGAGAGAGCAGCAAAGTTCAGGAAGCGAAATCCCAGGACAGTCATCAACTGGGACCACTTCGCTTCCCTCGTCAGCTTATGGGAGGATTCCGTCATCGAAAACATCGACGAGGAGTACTATCGGCTCGTTGAACATCTTCACGATTGTGGCAAGAAGGCAGAGAGTTTGAAAGTCACCAAGGGACGTCTGTCTCCGGAAACTCTCGAACTGATACGCCAGCGTGGAGCCGCACGAGCTGCAGGCAATCACCAACTCACGTCCGAGCTTGCGAAGCTATGCAGAGAGGCGATAAAGGAAGATCTCAAGGAGCGAAGAGCAGCAGTATTAGCTGAAGCAGCAGAGGCTGGGAGGAGCATCCGCAATGCCCGCCGAAGCTTTGCCAGCTACATAGTATACTAATATATGACTCTTTGCCTCTTTTCCGACGTCCAGATGGAACAGTTACTGCATCCCGAAGGGCAATGGAGAAAGTCATCCACGACTTCTACTCGGATCTCTTCGATAGCCATGTCCATCTGCCTACTTATCAACCGCAAGAGGATGGATACGTTGTCCCTTCAGTTCTCTCTTCCGAAGTCCGACACGTCAGGTATGCTATTGGCTGCAGGTGTCGATTTTGCTGTGACCGCCATCAAGTCGGTGAAGAATTGTACAGCGCCCGGTCTCGACAGGGTTAAACCGGAACATCTGAAGAACGCACCGCCAGTTATCATCAGAAACTCTGGCTCGACTCTTCACGCGCTACCTGTCGGAATGCAAGGTACCCACTCCGTGGAAAACCAGCAGGACCGTGTTGCTGTACAAGAAGGGAGACTTGGACGACATTGGCAACTATCGCCCAATCTGCCTGCTGTCTGTAATCTACAAGCTATTCACTCGAGTCATCCTTAACAGGATCGGCAGAATACTAGATGAAGGACAGCCATGCGAGCAAGCAGGGTTCCGAAGAGGGTTCAGCACGATCGACCATATCCACACGGTTACAAGACTCATTGAAGTTTCACGAGAGTACAAGATGCCGCTTTGTCTCACGTTCATCGACTTGAAGAAGGCCTTCGACTCTGTGGAGACAGAAGCGGTCATCGAAGCCTTGGGCAACCAGGGCGTCCCTACTCAGTACATCAAGATTCTTCGTGAGCTCTACAGCAACTTTACGACCAGAATCTCACCATTCTACAAGGAGGTCATCATCGACGTCAAGAGAGGGGTCCGACAGGGCGACACCATCTCGCCCAAACTCTTCAGCGCCGCTCTCGAGAACGTCATGCGTCAACTGGAATGGGAAGACATGGGAGTGAAGATCGACGGCCCGGCAACCTACAATCCACCTCTCCGCTTCTTCTGCACACGACCATCGAGCTCTCTTATCACACCGCCCCGCGAAACCATCAGAGCCACAAGCGGAGCGAATGCTGGCTGATTTCGACTGCGCCTGTGGTAAGGTTGGTCTGCAGCTGAACCTAACGAATACGATGTTTATGAGAAACGGATTGGTTTCTGATGCCCCATTCCCGCTCAACGGAACGAACATCACCGAATGCTCCACTCAAAGTGTCACCCTAGGATCGAGAAAATCAATATATGTACACCGTAAAGCCCAGAGCCTGAGCAGGAGAGCAACACGAGCGGCTTGGAAACGTACAAGATACAGTCGAGAGTATGGAAAGCAACCGCAAACAAACAACACACCACAACTGCCACCCTTCGATTCTCGCATGTCCCTCCTGCCCTAACCTTACGCCTCAGTAGACTTTCAACTCGGCAGGACGAGCATGCGGTCAGCGTTATCCAACGCGCTGTCGAGAGGACGATGCTAGGAGTAACCCTATACACGCAAGTGCAGAGGGGAATCCGGAGTGCCGAACTACGCCAACGATCGAAGATCAGGGACGCTGCCGTTTTCGCCAAGGAATCGAAGATAAGGTGGGCGGACACGTCATGCGATTTTGCGATGACCGTTGGACCAGAGCGGTTACCGACTGGATCCCTCGGGACGTCAAACGAACACCTGGACGACCGCCGGCCCGATGGTCAGACTTCTTCACGAAAGCTCTGAACGAAAGGAATGATGGACTTCGTGTCCCTCGAGCAAGGAGGATCCACTGGACCACCCTAGCACGCGACAGGGACGAATGGAGACGTTGCTGGCGCCCGCTCGAGCAATTCGATGATCAACGGGACGACAGGTGATACAGGTGATACATGTCGATATAACACTCGGGCTAACCAAAAGTTCCTTTTCAGATTCGTACTCTACACTTTTTAGAAACGTTTTCCTTTGTGTGTGAGGTCGTGGCGCATCATACTCAGGACACTTCCTTCTTGATCGTTCCTTAAACTTTTAAAAATGACTAATTCTAGAAAAACTACCTAGCGTAATATTATATTCATTAAATTATCATTAAATAATAAAATGCACAATTACCTCTGTCAACTCACGCATCAAGCTTGTCCCAATACTGGATTTTCATATAAACTTGCCTTTGTTGAAGATCACCAATCTTACGCGCAGGCAACTTTTCCAATTCTATCTCCACGAGCTAGCTTTTTTAGTGCAAGGCCAATTTCGAATAGATGACGATTTAGTGAAAACACCGGAATACTAGAACTCAGTGCTCCCCTTTATCACCCACTAGAGCTTAGAGCAGCTGAAAGGTCGCAACTAACATGCAAGATTTCAAGGAGTGGGAACTTTGCGAAGACCTTTCAATCGAGTCCAAGTATGTTAAGGTTCAGAGAATATTCGAGCACATCTTTTACAGCAGAATCAAAGATGTGTCTATCGAATCGCAATGGGCAAAGATCGTTCACAATATTTCTTCTACATCATTCTCCCTTGTGGGATTCGTCGTTCTGTTCTCCTTGGCTTCTCGTTGAGATACACTGCAGGCACAAGCGCCCCATCTGTGCTGATATACAACAGAAATAATGTTGCCAGAAATAAAACAGTGTGGGCGGCTGAGGTTGGAGGGCCAACGACACAAATGACGCGATGGCGATATCTCTTCTATGATTTACAATGTGCTCAGCTGGAAAACTTTGTCAGGTGCACTGAGCGTGAGGTAGGATAACGGTATAAAAGTTCTACTATCCGTGCAGTTAGCACACTGCCAAATTCCCTGCTTTCACTTATCTACATAATTATTGCAAATTTTTTAGAGAAACAATGCTTTTCGCTCTACTGTCTTCAGTGCTGCTCGTAGGAAATGTATGGGCAGCTGTGGATCAGAACTGTACAATATATGATGGCAATGACCTTAAGGTAGGTCGCTCCATTTTGTCAAAGAGCGCATTTAACAATTAGGAAATTACGGAAATCATTGCTAGCGCTCTAGAATTCTTCAATTTTTGAGGTTTCTCTATCAACGACTGAACGAACTTTTTGAGAATGCGCGTTGTAGAATATCTCAGGCATAATAATAATGCTCATAGACAAAATTTGCCAGAATGAATCAGAATGAGCTTCACATTACCATTTGTCTTGTCGCCTTTCCATCATTATTTCGTGGTAAAAGCATATCGCCTCCAAATCGGGCTCGAAAAAAATACAAGAATAATAAGGTAGCTTGGACCGGATCGCATGCATTAGGTCGATATTCAGCCCTCTGTTTTATGATTATTTCATTGATTGGAGTGGTTTTCCCACGTAAAGACCGATTTTTAATGAGAGGTTCTATGTTTTACTATGCTTTGTGAAGTGAAGACATCTGCGGGCGATTTCTGTGGTTGTGACTCGAACCTCAACCTTTTCAGTTCGCCGAATCTGCAGTAAACTGTGAGGATAAATTGTCGTCTACCAATTGCGCCCTCTTATACCAAAAGCAAGCGGTCGCAGGACAATGATGCAGATCGAGATCCGAAGTGCAGCGGAGATCCGATAGTACGTGATTTCATTAAGTCTCGATCAACAAACAGCTACACCCCTTTCATGGTTGTGCGGGAAAACTTCGGTTTTTCTGGTTTCGACGAATCAGTAAGCAGGTTCTGATTGCATTCGAATCTTGAAAATTCAAGAAGTTGATACCCACAAATATCCAAGAACACATTTCTAGATTCCTCACGAATCAAGACTTACAATCACAGCTTATGGTTAGTAAACTATTTCTTGTCATTGAGTGTTACCTCAATCTCTTTCTGCCCATTACATTACCGCCATATCACACACTGGACTGTCGTGAGATGTATCATCCTACTATATATAATCGGCTAAGTGTGTCTGTTGGTGTGTGTGTGTGTTTGACCGGAAATTCATAGCTCGAGTCACAGCAATGGTTCTTACATATGTTATAGGGGGTGGGATGGGGACACAAGTGGTACGTGATAGGAACTGATAACGACTGATAATAGCTGATAAGAGGGGCTAGAAAGCGAGCATCGCCAATTTCGTTTTGTCGTTCATATTGGTACTAGAGCGTCTATACTTACAAGTGTTATGTGGGGTGGTCCCGGGACATTGGTGGTACATGAATGAAAGCGATAGCAACTGATAAGGGCTGATAAGGGCGTCAGAACGCAAAAGTCGTCGATTCCGTTACCTGGCTCGCGTTGACACCAGAGCAACCATACTTACAAGTGTTATGTGGGGTGGGACGGGGACATTGTTGGTGGGTGATGGAAAGTGATAACAACTGATAAGGGCTGATAAGGCGCGTCAGAACGCAAAAGTCGTCGATTCCGTTACCTAGCTTGCGTTGACACTATACTGACAGCTGACAGCAAGAAAACCGTATTCACCGCTAAATTATCTGAATTCAAGAAGAATGCTGGATGTTTACAGTTGTGAGATAAATATGCCAGTTCAGCTCCAGACGTTATCACGCGTATTCTCGATGGACTTCAGCGAAACTGGGAAAGGTCTAACACATTCAATAGTGAGGTGGTTAATGGAGTACCTCATGCTGATATTCCATGGGTCCTCCAGTTTCGCTAAAGCCTGCCGTGTGATGCGCGCGATAGCGGGCGAAGCAAAACTGGTTTTAATAACTCATCGTTTAGCTTCTATACTTTCACCCATCTACTGTCACCGCTAGAAAAGCTTCCTCAGATGTGTGTTGGACAATGGTATTATTGGATTAGAGGGGCAAAATTACTGGCGCATCTATATGTGTTGAAGCTTTTAACATTCTCATTGCAGATATTTCCGTCCTAATTTTTCGTGATATGTTGTTTAACACATTGACGACGGTGCGCGTTTTGGCTTTTTTGGCCACGTGGGACAGGGACAATTTTGCGAGCGCGGCCGCCGCACCTCGCATCCGTAAATTTTTATTGATAACTTTTTAAAGCACCAGTGGTACAAAACCATTTCAGCAATATCAATGCGTAGAAGGTAATCGAGTATATAGTGGCGAAATTCCGATCAAAGAACGTGTAATGGTAATGAAAAAGGAAATTTAGTCATTTTATCTGTAGTGGATGCCAAAACTATTTTCGATGTGGTTGTGTCCAAGTGAAACATATATTTTTCTATCCCTTTAGTTTGTATTTACTTTCACTACCCTTTCTCACTGACATGTTCATGAGAATAGGAAGAAAACGAGGAATGAACCGAGCTGCCAATTCCGCTGTGCTTGAAAACTTCTGCTAAACTGGAGCATATTTGATCATACCGTGACCCATGTCGTTTACAGTTATGTTATGTTGTAATCCATAGAATAGAGACAAGCAAATTGGGAAGAATCCCCGCATACGCTAGAAAAAGGGATGACAAGGGAGACGCAACCGCGTCTCAATGTCGTCAATGTGTTAAAAGTGTTACTAGTACACGCTGATTACATAGCGGATGGAAACCTAGCTTTCTGATTTATTTACAACTCCAACAGTGCAAGCACGTTTTCGTCTACTTCTCAAATTTTCAAACATTGTTCAAAAAGCGTTCCAACTCGGTATTTGTTTCAAAGTGTGAGCGTTCACTTTGGAGGGTTACCAGATGAGTTCAGCGTAGAATTCACTTCAAAACGCATGTCGAAGGTAACCTAGGAAAGTGCGCCAAGCAGATTCTAACTTCATCAGTTTCGAACCAATATCTTCCAGTTCTCCGGATCATACCGACCTGGTTTCAACTATGGGCTGCACTGGCGAGAAAAATGTTATCTATAAGATACCCAAGCTTGGACCCTCCCATGACGGCGCTTTTAAAATCCTGAGGCGACAAATGCTAGCAAAATCCTACGCGTCCGTATGCGATGCGCTTGGTCTGAAAAGCTGTGTGAGTGTTGAAGGCAATCATTTCGAAGGCCGTTGTCAGGATTTGGATTGTCACCTTTTCTACTAATAATCTTCATGGTCAGAACTGATTATTGAAAGTAGTCCCGGAAGCGAAGGAAAATTGGTGCACCAGTAATCTTGCCTCACCCTATGAAAGCGTTTCACATTCAATGATTACCCTTAATAATTTTGGACCTTCCACAAATAATCTATACGTTCTACTTCAACTATAATATAAATTCAAAGTGCTTGAGTGTGTGCCGAGACCTTGTTGTGACGACCGTTCGAAACTGCTATCGCTGAACCTGTCGAATGGCTGACGTTTTCATTGAAAGTTCTTCAACGGTGCCTCCGGCTTGTATAACTAATATACAGATGCGAAGAAACGCCAGCTTCCTTTTTCTAGGATCCTCAGCTGGTTCAAGCGGCGGTTGATCTTTGTCCCAAGACGTGTGGCTACTGCTGTCTCACACCCGCCTTTTCATGCAATGACAAGCTGCGTGAGTTGCATCTGTCCCAGCTGACCTATGAAATACTACGTTTTTGTGCTGTTTTTTCGTGCTATCAACCATTTCCAGGCATACTGAACCTTAACACAAGAACTTTTAGAGCCAAGGATACCATGCTCGTCAGTTACGAAGATAATGTGCGAAAATAATGCCTGGAAGAGTATTCTTGAAGAGGATTGCCCGAAAACCTGCGGTTTTTGTGATTCAGGTTTGTCTCGGCTAAAGTAACAAACCTGTGCACTTATCTGAAACTCGGTCCCACAACGGTCACGGTAAGGCTTAAGAGCCTCATTCACTAATTTGCATCAAAGCATATTGGATTTTACAGCAGGGTGCGACAATATAGGCTATAAAATAAATACACTAGGCAAAGCTAGAAATTTCACGTGATGAATGGAACATTTTTTGGATCAGTGCAATGTTCCTGATACTGAAGCATTATTACCACATTCTCATCATTTGCTACTTAGACTTAGTTCACTTAGAACTTTACGAAAGGGTAGTGCTCGCCGATTGTTTCTGAAGGATTCTTGCGAGCAAAGGAGTCACGCAGGAATTTCGCCACCATCGAAAGTCTCACATCAAACGATCGCCTCCACACTTCAGTCTTGTCGAGTCAGAAATCTTGTATGAACTGCTCAGAAAACTGGAAGACCTCGTGTATCTCATATGAGCGACATCGACGCACCATCCGTCGTTCGAGGGCCGGCTTCCACCTCACTGCAGTCGACCTCCACCCGATTTCAATAGAAAATATAACTCATAATCTAGTCTTAGCGGACGCAGCGGCGAAGGCTGCAATAGTGCTGGAAAGCATTCAGCCAAAAGAAAACGAGTCATGAAACTGAAAATTGCCTTTCTTGACAGGGTAGAACAAACCTTGATATATACATCTGGGAGTATGGAAGAATGTTGTTCTTCAAAAAAACAAATACTCAAAAAACAAATACAAAACAACACACTGAATACTCCCTATAGGTTCACTTTCCCCATGAGTTTCCCGGAAATCTTGGAGATAGCGGTGGAGCAAGAGGACTGCGTGTTACTTTTCTAAATTTTTATTTTGTAAAGCAGTAATGACAAGTTTGCGGTAAAAGTGTGTCTCCCTTGAAAAGTCTTCAGTTCCATATCATAGCGGCCAGCGTTCATGCAAAACGTGGGTAAGTCAACGTTCAGTACAGTAAACCACAAAAACGTAGGTTTTGCCACGTCTTCTCACATGGGAGGCCTCTTGTGGCTGTTACCGGAACGAATAAGTTTAGTTCTGCGCCAGTTCTCGCTCAGAATTTCTCAACGGAGTGACCATATCGAAGCTAAGTTAACACGTTGACGACGGGCTGACGCGCATGCGCGTCAGAACCATGTCACTCATTTTTATGTGCTTGCGCTCCTTCTTCTCGAGTTTTTTGTATTCATTCTATAGATAATACATTAGCATAACTATAAACCACATGGCAGCCAGAGTGGTCAAATATCCTTGATTTAGCAAAGATTTTCTGAACGCACAAAACTTTCATTCAATTCTTTCCTAGTATTCCTTTCACTGTCGTAAACATTCATATGAAAGATTGTAGAAGCAGTTAATACAAAACTCTGTGAGTTTCAAGATATTTGTATTTGATGGAAAAACTAAGGTATAAATGCTTTTTACTTCATTCGTAGTGAAAGCGAAGTTTTTTTGCTTCTTCGTGATCATTGTGGCTTCGTCTAAACAAACTTCTACTGGTATTTGTGTAAGTAACCTGTATAAACTTCCATCCTTGCCGGGATGATTGTGTGAGATTCAAATTTTTGGGCATCAAACAGAAAACAAGAGTAAGGAAGGTGAGGACGGCGCAACGCAAAATTTCTCCTGTCTCACGCTGTGAAAAATAGCATGAGATGGAAAGCCTGAGCTCCTCTACGTCAGCCACTGTCTTAGCAGAAAGCGAACTATTTGGCTGGGGTATTAGGCTCATGCTTGAGAATGCTCCAGAAATCAACTGCGTTTCTGCTGCATTCGCATTCGACTGAAAGTGTTTATGTGTACGCTGTGGTGTTTCACAGGCAAGGAAAGGTACTATGCTTTGCCTTATAACGGTCTTACACGGCACGGCTTACAAACACAAAATAATCAGGAGCAGCGCCTAAAATGAGCACAGACCCCCCTCCTCCATGTAAATCAAAACCTGTGGAATTCGGGAGGTAACAGCTACACATTTTGTTTAGTTTGAGGACGTTTAGAGTCAGAAACGCTCCCAAGATTCTCGCTTTCAAGAACGCGTCTGTGTGCCAGGATGGACACTCCTGTATCTTCGAGTGCTAGTCTCGACATCCCCGCTGATTTGAAAAGCAGTGAGTACCGAGTGACGTCTAGATTTTAGATCTTCGCAGGCCGTTCATAGATCAGCTCCAGAGTGAATTTTGTATGAAAGAGCGTGCGATAAATGAGGGTGAAGGTGCAGAGGGGGCTGAAAGGAGAAAAAGCAGGAGAGACCTTAGCTAGCACTGAAACTGAGGGCCTATACATTCTTTGAGGTAGGGTGTAGCACAACGAAGCGAACAACGAAGAAAGGAAGGCGAACGTATAAAGGGTCGTATGAGAGGGCACAGATAAGGAGTGGCCGCCTGCAAACAACTCTCGCCATGCACAATCTTCGGAGCTTTGGCAACCCTTGCGTCTTTCACGCTATGTCAATGACGTCATATGACGCATCGATGACGCTCAGACAGCTTTGCCTTCCCTACCCAAAGGTTAGAAGTGGTTTTATTTCAAGTTTGCATTCGAGTGCTGTTTCCAGAGCGGTCACCAAGAGAACCACAAATTTTCCTTATCGGATTTTCCTTTCCTCTTGCAATTGTTGCAAGAGTTTGAATCTATTAATTTGACATATTTGTTAATACAATTTTGAATTTTTTACATACAATTTTTTAATTTAACATATTTTCCTCAGACAATCATCTACCCTGTCGGGAAGACAGTGGAACGCTCAAAGCGGTTCAAAAACGCAGCTTGTCAACATGCCCCGCAAAGCGCTATTGACCATACATGTTTGAGTTGCCTCACTCCCTTCTCTTGAAATGTAACAGTAAGAGGAAGGTTACCTCGATGAATGATCTTCTGTCGAAATCTCCGCATCGTCTGTAATACTCACCGCCTTTTGGTGTTGGTGCTGGTTATCCATTTTATTCCGCAGTGGTTCGAAACTATATCGAACAATTTATAGTGTGTGTTAACGGAGGCCCTGCTCACTGTTCTGGTCATATTGTTAGTAATATTTCTGGATTTAAAAACATATTCATCTTGTATTGGTGCTAGTTGCAATGGACCACCCATGAATTGACAGAAAGTGAGGCAGTCTACGGTTGCAGAAAAGCTTTGTGAAACATTAAGTAAAGGGCATTGCAACATTGTAACGTCAACAATCCTCAACGCGACAGTCGCATCATCGGGGAATATAAATTGTATACATACATTGCCATAACCCCGCAGTGAAAGAGCCGACATGTTCAGTTGCCTAAGGTCGATTAGAAACCTCAACTTTACGTGGATGCCGATCGGGTGAGCCCGTATCAAATAGGGCCTTTGCGACACTTGGCTGCGCTTTCTTCCGTCAAGGGAAAGGAGTAATCTCTTGAAGCAAATCTTTTACAAACTCTATTACACAACAGGTCCCAAAAAACCGGTTTCCATCGTTCTTATCGAATCGCTCTCAGAAAATCCTATAAAACTGATAGATTTCATTTCGGAAAGGGAGAAAAATACATTTCTTCTGCGCGTTGAAGAATCTTCGTTGTTGACATACTCTGATGATGTCACCATAATGGCAGCTCATCCAGTATGCTGTCAGCGTGCCAACGCCGTGGCTCATGAAAACGGTTTCGTAAGGGCACATAGGTTCTTTCTGTTCAAGAATTCGCTATTCATGTCGGTGATTATTCCAAATTTCCGGTAATTGCGTCGATGAAGCACCTGGCTGCAATTTGAGTGGCGGAGTTATTTGCCAGAGTAAAAACCTGGACTCATTCGCACGGGTAGGTGAAGCCCTTGTTTACAAATAATTATCGTTCATTCAATTGATGCGGCTCGAAACTAAAAATGGAATAAATCGCACTGTATATTTTAAGCGATACTGCAGAAAGACTTGCGGATACTGCTCGGACTCAACGGTGGCACCGGGTAAATGCTTTTGCTCGATTGATGACCATTTTTTCACTAATTTGCAAATGACTTTAATATAGTGTTATGTGATTGTGTAGAAATGTTGCAATTGAGATAAAAAGCTCTAATTTTTATAGTTCCACCTAATTTTGATTTAGCATGAGCTAATAATCATTTTCTTAGAACTTTGGCTATCATATAATACTCAATATATCGCCCTGACTTACCTCCCCTTCAAAAAGCGAGAAAGTGTCGGGTGCAGACCATACACCACAAGTGACGACGGCCTCCACAAAATGCAAATGTTTTTGCCAATGAAATGATTAGCCTGTTGCAGTTGTATTCTATCAGTTGTCACTAATTACAACTATCATTTACCAAAATCAGCTATCACTATGAACCACTACTAACCAGATTTACTTGGAGGCCGTCGTCAGTTGTGGTGTTTGGTCTGCACCCGACACTTTCTGGCTTTTTGAAGGGGAGGGTACCTCAGATTTACCTATCGGTTTAATATCTTTGAGTGGCGTGAGTTGTGAGTTGTGTGAGTGTGAGTTTTCTTTCCTCTTAAAATTTCCACGAATATAGCAGGGTTGAGAAACTGCACATTACGGTTTTGCAATATTTCCATGTCAGAATAGCCGTTATTAAAAGATATGCCGTCTTTCGCATGCTTATTAGTTCGCTCGCAGCATCATCTTCGAGTTACAGGCGAAGCAGGCTAAAAACTTTTACGTCGAGTTCTGTTTGTACTTCTAAAAACTTTTTTTCAGGAACTGGATGCGGATCGAACCCAAAGTGGGTTTTTTATAATTTCTCGTATCTTATTTCCTTTTGTAAGCTTTTGAACACCACCTATTGTGTAATGGAAAATTCTAACGCTCATAACAGTATGGCTTGGTTTCATCGCCAACAACTAATCCAGAGATGGGTTGTGTTCTACTGACGTGGCTCCAAATCTTCAGCTCAATAGTTAATGACTCAACACATTTACACGTCCTTCTAACT